TGATTTTAGCTATGTGGTTACTCTTATATGCAATTATATATGTTAACTTGTTTTGTAACTTGGAAGAAATGTGCAAGGAAATTTGATTCTTTGACCTTTAAATCAATTTCAATTTGGCTTAAACTAAATTTATTTATATATATTTTTGTCTGATGTGATGAAGAGGTTAGTGAATTTCTGCTTTATCAGTTTAGAGTGCAACATTCAGCTAAATGAAAATTAGGATTGATAGCAAGATATACAGCAAGTCAGTAATTACTAAGTGGTTCACCCATAGATTATCAGTATTGATCTGACTTGAATTTACATGAGATGTAGCCATGTATTTTGTAGCCAAAAAATCCTGCTTTAATATTATGTTAATTTATAGTCATTCAGGTCTTTAAAGCTCATTTCTTAGCATCATCTCAGAATCAAGGCTGTAAATCTAAACAGTCTATGTTGTTTTAAGAAAAGGGATTATAATAGTTTACATTGTTTATCAGTTGTTAAAACTTTTAAAGTTAAAAACAAAATATAGCTAGGTGTGGTGACACACCCCTGAAATCCCAGCACTTAGGAGGCTGAGGCAGGAGGATCACTTCAAGTTAAAGGTCAGCCTGAAGTATATGCTTAGACCCTGTCTCAAAAAACAAACAACAAACAAACAAACAAAATGAGGGGGCAGATTTGGAACTTTGACTTTTAAACTGATCCAGCCCTCAAAAGGAACTTATCCATTTGTGAAAGTCTTCCTTTTACATGTCTTTCTTACTTTCTTACTAGTAAATGTTTAGTAAGCAAAACACCACATTTTATGGTGCAGTGACACCAAAGGGAGAATGTTTTCCAGCTGTGAAGTTTTTTTCCTCTGTTCTTTTTTCTTTTTCCAAGGCACAATGCTTGGCCAGAGTGATGTCTGAAGGCAAGATGCTCAGAAACAGATTAGCCAGCTGTTTGCTCATTTCTGTGTTAAATCATCTGCTGTGCATATAGGGGACACGTGTCAGTTGATTAATGGGCCAGATTTTATGTTTTCAGATTGCTAACAAAGGAGATTAAGCTCCCAGACAGAAATAGTTCCAAAGTCTGTTTGCAGACAGACACATAATTAAAGTAACCACACAGTTCACTGAGGTTAGAGTTCCATGCTGTGATTACAAGATTCCCTATTTGTTATTTAAAAGCAATTTGGAGCTATTGTATATGTACCACTGGACTTGGAATCAACTGACCTTAGTTCTAGGGGTGGCCCTTCTGCTCTGAAATAGTGGATCCAGTCATAATGCTTATTTTAAGGAATCTTGAAAAACTATACAAATTTTAGGAGGTACAGAGTTATATTGTGAAACATTAAAATAATCAAAATACTGTGCTGCCATTCTCACTGCATGTTAAAGATGATTATGATACATTGTATGTGCAAAAATCAGTTTATCAACCAGAATTACAGAGTAATCCTTTTTCTCTTATAAATGTAAATACCCCCAATAAATACCAAATACCACACCATGTATGTATGTATTTTGTTTAAAATTGTACTTATATTTTTTGCCTAGGAAGTATAGACTAATTTAAATATTATGTATTTAGTAGCTAATGATAGATTGCTGAGATATAAAGTTAGAGCCCTGTGTTTTTGCTTCCTATGGGCTTTATTTATTTATACTGTATTTGCTCTATGTTTTTATTGGTAGTATTGGCTATTTTGAGAACTATTATAGTGGATCTTTTTATATGAGATGGCAATGAATATTTGACCACAGGTGGTTTTCATTCTTTTGGTGTGAGGTGTGTGGGTTGACAGCCTTTGAAACTTTAATGCTATGTAATATGCAGGTGCTTTTATTGTTTATAGATATGCTTAATCCTTGTTTGAAATGTATTAAATGGTGTACCATCTGTAAGCCTCCCCAAATTCCATAGATTAGTTACCCTTTAAAGAAAGATTGCCTTTTATCTAAGTTTTAGAGTAAACTCTTCCGTCTGGGAACCTTCTCTTTTATGTCCTTGTTCAGTGTTCAGCACTCCAGTATTAATCATGGACACTGGCATTCTCAGTAACAATGAGGATAACTGAAAATAACATTAGACTGAACAAAGTGGTATTGTCCAGAGAGTAGTTTGAAATCAGTGAATAATCAGTCCATCATAGCTTCACCACTGCTGCGTGTGTGTGTGTCTCTGTGTGTGTAACATTACTAAATAATGGGATAGTTGTTTTGCAGGGACATTTTATAGATGGTAGTGATATAACATTGACCTTCTTGTGAAGTTTTAGTTAATAAAAGAAAAACCAGCCAGGTGTGGTGGTGCACACCTGTAATCCCAGCACTCTGGAAGGGTGAAGCAAAAAGATTGCAAGTGTGAGTCCAGCCCAGGCAATTTAGCAAGACCTTGACTCCAAATAAAAAATAAAAAGAGCTGAGTGCAAAGAGCTTGGTTTCGATCCCCCAATCTTTCCCAAAAAAGAAAAAGAAAGGGCGAGGATTTAGCTCAGTGGTGCTGCTTCCGGCCTCACAAGCACAATGTCCTGAGTTTGATCCCTGGTACCAAAAAAAAGAAAAGAAAAAGAAAAAAGACCCATAGTTTTTGTAACATCTTATATATAATTTCTTTTTCTTTTGGGTTGTGACTGAAAGACTGTTGACAGTACTTGGTGCTGAGAGCTTGCTTGATTGGTTTTGGCATCCCTCTTTGTAGAAATGTAGTATTTGAATAAGGATTATGGTGTTATTTTATTTTTATTTATTTTTTTGTTTTGTTTTTTGGTACTGGTCATCCAACTCAGGTCCTTGTGCTTGCAAGACCAGCGGCAGAACCACTGAGCTAAATCCCTGGCCCTGTGGTGTTATTTTAAAAGAAATTGATATGAAATTATTTAACTTTATGTACTGATTGATTATGTAATACCCTACAGTGAATGTTTATTTTGTAAAATTCCATTACAAAATATATAGAGGTCTTTAACTTGAAGCCATTTATGTACTTAATCAATTTTATATTATTGTTTGGTGCTTTTTATAGACTTACTTTTGGCATCTCTTCCCCTGCCTAAAAAAATTAGACTGATGCTATTATAGTGTGTTTTATAAGTTTAGAGAACTGAAAAATAATATTGCTCACTGAGTTTGTTTTTTTTTTGGTACGGGGGATCAAACTTGGGTCCTTGCGCTTGTGAGGCAGGCGCCAGAACCACTGAGCTAAATCCCCGGCCCACACTGAGTGTTGATTATGGTAGATACTGTGAATATTAAACAAAAAGGTATTATCAGACATGGTTTTGGGTTCCAAGATCTAAGATCGAGGTGGAGAGAAAGTTAACATTCTTGAAACAATTGTGACCATTAGAGTATTCTGGTATATATTCCAAATTATAAGAGCATAAGGTGATCAGAGAAATAAAAATCAGGTAAGAACAATTAGAGTTTGGAGGGGCCTTAGAATGAGGTTAGTGAAGGAGATGGCATTCCAGTGGGGATAACCTTTATAAAAGAGAAATAAGTTAGACATTCAGAGATTATACAGGAGCCTTAAATAAGAAGGTAACAGAATATAACTTGAATAGTTGTGGAGTTAGGGCAGAAGTGTGGTGAGTAGGGTGTGGTCACAAGAAGAAAGACCTCGAAAGTTAAAAGTGGGTAGCTAGGATGTATGACCACCTTGTCTTTGCAGTAGAACATTAAGATAAAAAATTAGGGAAAGGAGTTATTTTAGAAATGGTAGATATAATGAGATGGAAAACAACTGGAACAGTTAGGAGTCTATTATAGTAGTCCTTAGATGAGTTAATGAGTGCTTATATTCAGAAGATAACAGTGAGAATAGAGAAAAAGGAATAATTGAGACATTTTCATTGAAGGAAACGGATGAAATCTATATATAGATAGGTAGATATATACATATATCTATATATACACATATTTAGTGAGGGAACAAGGGATTGAGAAAGGGAGTGAATATAGGGAATTAAAGAAAAACAATAATGATCACTTCCTTTCTTTTATATTCTGAGAGATACTAAGTACTGATAGATGTATAGATTTTTAAAAAATTAGGTGGAGGGAGATGTGTTCAATTTAGACATACTGAATTTGAAGTGATAAGTGCTTTACAAGCAGAAGTGGCCTATATAAGCAATTGGTTGGATATATGGTTCTGGAGCACAGTCAGTGTAGGGCCAGAGATGCTGATTAAAGGTGTATGTATAGTTGGCTTTCCATATCTGTGAGTTTTGCATTGGATTCAGCAACTGAATAGAAAATATTGCATCTGTACTATACATACATAGGCTATTTTCCTTGACATTCCCTAAACAATTCAGTATAACAAATATTTACATAGCATTTACATTGTATTAGATAGTATAAATAATCTGGAGATGAGTTAGTATATATGGGAAGATAGAGTAGATTATATGCAAATACTGGGCCAGGGATTTAGCTCAGTGGTTTTGCTGCCTGCTGCGCAAGCGCAAGGACCTGAGTTTGATCCCTGGTACCAATAAATAAATAAATAAATAAAATAAATAGAAAAAAGTTTTATATGCAAATACTAAGAAACCATTTGTAGATGGGGCCTGCATACCTGCAGATTTTAGTGTCTGTGGAAAGCCCTAGACATATTTCCTGTAAATACTGAGGGATGGCTCTGTATACAGATATTCTTTTTTTTCCCTTCCCCACACCCCCGGTACTGGGCATCGAACTCAGGACCTTACCAGGCAGGCGTGGCGCCACTGAGCTACATCCCAAGACCTATACAGATATTCTTAAAGGCACATTCTGAGGAAATTTCTAAGGGGAAAACTGGGAGATCAATAAATAAACTTCCGAAAACACCAGAAGAAAGGATTTAACAGGTTGATTTTAATGAATTTACTTAGCAGTATATTTTAAAACCTGTTTTGATACAGTTAGTAACCTGTTTGTTTAAAAATATTTGTGAAAGTCAGTATATTCTGATCACTTTTGATCTGATTCTACAGCCAGGGTATTCTGATTTATTGCATCTTTTCGTAGTTTGCTGTGCTAAGAAGACAGCAACGTATGATAAAAAATCGAGAGTCTGCTTGTCAGTCGCGCAAGAAGAAGAAAGAATATATGCTAGGGCTGGAGGCAAGATTAAAGGCTGCTCTTTCAGAGAATGAGCAACTGAAGAAAGAGAATGGATCATTGAAGCGGCAGCTAGATGAAATTGTATCAGAGGTGAGTGCTAGTGATGGAGCCAGCTGAGATGGGTTAGAGATTTTTTTCCTGATAAATAAATTGGTAAATTTGTACATCTTAAATTGCATAGAACAACAGTGCTAGGAAATTGAGGGTACAGTAAGTCCAAAAACATTTGTAGTAATGATAAATTTTGAAAGAACCTTTTGAAGTGTACCTCCCAATCTATACAAAAGACATCTTTTCTTGAGTTTCTCCCAGCTCTACTTTAGCACCTTCTTTTCTGACTGAGTCACATTAAGGCTCCTGAATAATCCTCAGGTCTTCCCTTTTATAAAAGAGTAATGCAAAAGAACAATGTGTTTTTACCTTTCCTCTGTCCACCTGTTCAGTGTTGTTTTTTGCATTCTGTTGCCAGTGCTGATCTTGAGAAGATTATTCTCAATTCTGTTCATGAACTCTTTGCTTTCAGCATTTCCACTGCAGTATAGTACTGAACCAAATGGATGCCAATAAAACACAGGGGAGTACTCCAGTGGGTTGTTGGAAACAGTGACTTCAAAGACAGTGAAATAACTCAGATACACATGCTTAACTATTGCATAGCTTCTCTTAGATGAGAAACCCAAAATATAAAAAAAGAGCAAAGTAAAAGATAATAGGAAGTAGGGAAATAGATCTTTCTCAAATGGGGAGGGGATCAACAGATGAAGGGAAGAAGGAGGCAGGGGAGGAGAAGGGGATGAAAAAAGAATTAAGATGTGTTATGTACAGGTACAAATTCCCCATGAGAAACATAAACATGTACTGCAAACATGTACTAATAAAAAATATGTAAACTGAAAAAAAAGGGAAACAAACTACAAAAGGGGTGATCAAAATATGTGATAGATGTTTAAATTTAAAACATTTATTACAGTTAAAGACACATTGCCATTAATTCCTCTCAGAATACTTCCCCTCACTTCCATCACAGATATCCCATCATTCTTGCCATTTTCTGAAGCAGTTCTGGAAGTACTCTTTCATGAGTAGCTTTACAAAGTGTGATAAAAAATATGGTGAATGCTGCTGCTGAGTACCATCCAACAGAAAGGCAGGCTTATAAAAGCATTATAGTGTGTTCTCATTTACCTCATTCATTGGATCTCGCATTGTATGAGTTCTGGCTCTTCCCCAAAGTCAAATGACTATAAAAGGTAAACATTTTTAATTGATTCAGGATATTGAGGTAGCTGCGTCAGCACAATGAAAGACACTCATGAAAGAGAGCTTTCAGAACTGCTTCAGAAAGTGGTAAGAATGATGGGATAAGTGTGTGTATTTTGAGGGAGATTAATGGCAATGTGTCTTTTAGTGTAATAATGTTTTTTAAACACTAACTTTATTTTTCAACCATATCTTGTGTTTCAAAATTCTTTAGAGATCCATAAAAATATAGAACTGTTAAATTGTGTGCTGTATATTTTTTTCTTCTTTTTTTTCCTTGTGCTTCTTTGTCTGGAAAGGAAAACTTGGAGGGCTCCTCTGTAGTCTTTTGAAAAGCACTACTTCTTCACCTTTGAGTTTTGTTTTTGTTTTAAAGAAAAGCTATTTATGTAATTGGTAACGAGAATTCTTAGATGCTGCTTTTTGTGAGATGTGTAGTTTAATCATATTTCATATGGTCATTTCCTTTAGAACCAGAGGCTTAAAGTTCCCAGTCCAAAGCGAAGAGCTGTCTGTGTGATGATAGTCTTGGCATTTATAATACTGAACTATGGACCCATGAGGTAAGTGTATAGCTATTTGTTTTGCATAGTAATGTTAAATATTTTAATACTCATTATTTATTATTCTTTAGCTCTGGTCATAAGCTAGAGGAAAAGTGATTTGTTTTGAACAGCATCAGCATCCTAGATATATAAAGAATAATTGGACAGGCCATACCTTCAAAGATTTCTTGATCCATCTGGGAAGAGTGACTATCATGTCTTTTTACATAAAGATAACCATGCTGTAATGTTCGAAGTGTGATAATAGCAATATGGACAAGGTACTGAAAGAATATAAGTGAGTGTATGAGTTCCTTAATGTAATAGTTCATGTCATATTGATAGGTGCACAACATATTTTTTCGCTGAATGAGTGATAAAATAATCCCCACTAAGGAATCTGAACCTTGAAGTAGTGTGTGTGTGTGTGTGTGTGTGTGTGTGTGTGTGTGTGTGTGTGTGTGTGTGTGTGTGTGTTTATTGGGGATTGAATCCAGGGCTTTTTATTTTTTATTTTGAGACAAGGTCTCATTAAATTGCCCAGGCTGGGCTCAAACTTACAATTTTCCTGCCTCAGCCTCCCAGAATGTTGAGTTTACAGGTATGTACCACCATGTCCAGTTTGTGATATTAATTTTCCAGGTAGAAAGGATGTCAAGCAGAGGGAACAGCATGTTTAAAGGTGCTATTATAAAATGGCATGGCATTTTCAGAAAAAAAAGAAAGGTGCCATGTATCTTATACATGTGAGGAATGTGTACGAAGCTAAATATATGGCCAGAAGTATATGTGGGACTAGATAATGAAGGGCCTCAGCTGCTGTTTTATACAATGAGACATCCCTATGATTTTGGGCAGGGGTAATATAATTAGCTTTGTATGTTAGGAAGATGACTTTGAGGACTGTATTGAGGATGGACTAGAGTGAGGAAAGACTATTGGCAGAGACAGCATTAAAGTTGTTGATGTCTTTCAAGTAATAGATGATAGTCTCAAGTTGGCTTGTGGTTATCAAGGATGAGCTGTCTCAGGCTACATCTCTGATATAGAGTATGCCATTTGATTATCTAATACATTGTGGGGCATGAAAAATAGAGAGAAATTAAAGATAATTCTGAAATATCCACCTTGAGGGACTGATTGGTATTACTACGTATTTGAGGTAGCAAACAGAAATATGGATAGTTTTGTGATGAATGACAATAGTTTTTATTTTTATATGGAAAGTTTGTGACACTGACTAGTTACTGTGATTACCATTGTAGACAGACAGATGGACAGATGGATAACGGTAATGGATAGAAAAGGTTATCCAAGGAGAGCAAGAGGAGGGAGAGGATAAGAATCTGGAGAACACCAGCATGAACAATAGATTGACTCGTGAAAAGAAACCCAGAGCAAATAGGGGTAGGGTTGGAGCTGAAAGAATGGCTTTCTGAAGCCAAGGTCAAAATCATTTCAAGATGGTCTCAGACAATGGTATTACAGGCTACTAAGAGCTTCAGAGAAGCAGAAAGCTGAGTTTGGTGATTAGCAGATCAGTGGTAAGTTTGAACAAACAGATCTATTAGGGATAGAAATGGGGTATATATTAGTTGGTTGAGAAAAAGAGGTTATAAGTTGAATAATATCTTTTTTATTAATAAACTTTGTTGTATAGATTCTCAAGCCATAGAAAATGAAACAGAATACTATAATGAACCTTCTTCCCATCAAACTGCTTCAGTAATTATCAACATTTTTCCAGTTTTGCTGAAGAGAGTTTAGGGAGTAGACACAGTGAGGATGGATTATTCTCATAAGGCTGTACGGAGAAATAGGTGGAAGAAAATGGGAGGATAAAGTTGATTCTTTTTTAGGATGTGATAAACTTCAGCAGATAATTATTTAGCTTTTGGTTAATTTTCAATGAAATGTACTTCTAACAATTTTTCACGTGTTTGAAAATAATTATATTCCTTTGTTTTTCTCTCTTTTTTCCCTGGCCCTACCTTCAGGCTTAACATCCAAATTTCTTCTCTTCTTTGTACAGTGGTGTGGTTTTCAGATACTCTCACTGGCTCCCTTCCTCTTTGTTGAACAGAGTTTCCTTCACTTCCTTCAACCTGAGCCTCTTCAGTGTTCCAGGCTTTATACACTCCTCAGTGTACAACGTCAGAAGGTGGTGTCTTGATCGGAACGTGTTTCCTCAGATACATTCTGACCTAACCAGGTTGCAGTGAAACTCTTACTTCCTAGAACAAGAGTTTTCATGCACCCTAAGATTTGTGTTAGCTCTCATTAAGTAAAATCCTCTCTGTCACGTTTGATGGCCACATTAGGCCACTCTCTCTCTCTCTCTCTTTTCTTTCTGCATAGGTGGTTTATTAAAAAAAAATTTTTTTGCAGTACTGGGAATTGAACCGAGAACCTTTGCATTGAGTTACGTCCCCAGTTCTTTTCAATTTTTATTTTGAGATGGGGGTCTCACTAATTTGCTAAGTTGCCCAGGCTGATCTTGAATGTATGATCCTTTGGCCTCAGTTTCCCAGAGTGGCAGCATGCACCACCACAGCCAGCTAAATATGTATAGATTTTATATGAAACTTTTGTTATCATTTGGTGTTAGCACAGCTCTCCAGAGCATATGATATTCTATCGTGAAGTCCCAGAGACCTGTATACCTTTATTTAGTATATTAAGAAAATTCAGGGCCAGGGATTTAGCTCAGTGGTTCTGCTACCTGCCTCGCAAGCACAAGGTCCCGAGTTTGATCCCCAGTACCAAAAAAAAGAAAATTCAGTGGAAAAAGGTTATAATCCTGAGTTCATCTGGTTTTGAAAGGTCACACTATTTTAGACATGTACATAAAATATGCAGAAGAGATAGCTGAATAAGCGTTTGAATTATTAAAATATTTTTACTACTTTTTAATTAAAAATAACACTTTGCCCATATTCATATTATTTTGACACTTCTATTATTCATGAAGGACTATCTTTTGATTAATAAAGGATAAAAGAGAAATGCTAATGTAAACTTTATTTTCCTTACTTAGGAACATGAAAATAATATTCATGAAACTGAGTCAGATTTCTTTTTTTGGGAGGGTGGTACTGGGGATTGAACCCAGAGCCTGGCACATATGGTAGACAGTGCTCTACCACTAAGGTACATCTTCAGCATATTTATTTTAAAATTTTATGTTGAAGCTAGGTCTCACTAAGTTGCCCAGGGTGGCCTTCAACTTACAGTCCTCCTGCCTCAGCCTCCCAAGTAGCTGGGATTGCAGTTTTGTGCCAGTACGCCATGCCTAGCAAATGCAGAGTCACCACCAAGGCTCAAAATGAAGTATCTTGTACTGGAATTCCCTAGTACCAGAGAAGACTGAATGGCTATAGGCCATTTGGTAGAATCTCTCCAGTTACACTCATGACTGCTTATCCAAGTTGTCTCTCCCTTAAAAAATTTATTAATGCACTTAGTTGACACATGATAACTATACATTTTTATGCAGTACAGTATGACATTTCTATACATGTATACAACATATAACAATCAGACCAGGGTAATTGGCATATCCATCACCTCAGACATTTATTGGTTCTTTGTGTTGAGAATATTCAGAATCATCTTTACTAGCTATCTTGAAATACTTAATTAATTGTTGTCAACCATAGTTTTATTACTGTGCTATAGAATGTTAGGTTATTCCTCTCCAGCTGCACCTCTGTACCTGTTAATTGTCCTCTCTTTGTCCCTTCTCTCTTCTTTATTTTGTTTTGTTTTGATTTTTGGTCTTGCTCTGCAGTCCAGGCTGGCCTTGAACTCACAGCCCAGGTTGGCTTCAAATCCATTGCAATCCTCCTGCCTCAGCCTCCCAAGTGTTGGGATCACAGGCATGAGCCATCGTCCTGATGCCTCTCTGTTTTCATAGCCTCTAGTGACTACTGTTTGACACTTTATTTCTACAAGATCAACTTTTTAGCTTCGAAGTCTCTCTTATATTATAGATGTTTTTTCAGTGACTTCTTTTCCTTGACTTTCTTCCATAGCCATTGTGGAAAATAGAGCTATAGTTTTTTAATTAGTATCTTTTTTCATGGTGACCATTAGAAATTCCACCCTGAAGAGTCTTTTTTTTCCCCCCAGGCACTGCTTCTTTTTCTTTTTAGTGTATCTTTACTTCTTTGCTTATTTTTAATTACCAGAGTAACAGATTAAAGTAGAATAATGATTACTGAGATTGGGAAGGGTGAGGGAGCAGAGTAGAAAAGGAGTGGGTGGATTTGATCAGTGCATACATATGCATGTATGGAAATATCTCCAAAAATTTTCAGAAAGTATAGAACTATATAGAGTAAAAAGTAAAAGACTCATAGCCCACCTTCTTCTTAGCCACCTCTCTACTTCTGTTGTGTGTGTGTGTGTGTGTGTGTGTGTGTGTGTGTGTGTGTTTGTGTGTGACAGGATCTCTCGGTATGTAGTTCCTATTGGTCTTGAACTCACTCTGTAGTCCACGCTAGCCTCGAACTCACAGCAGTCCTCCTATTTCAACCTCCTGACTGCGGGGATTACAGGTGTGTGCCACCACGCCTGGTTCCTGCTGTTTTTTATAAGTAATTTTTCCAGATTTCTAAACATACTACTTTACTAATTCAGTCAAAATATATTTATTGAATTTTTATTGAGTATTCAATATAATGTGAGACCAATAATATGGTTAGCAAAACTAACCTAGCCCCTGCTCTGGTGGAAGTTATAATCTAGTATAAGTGAACCTGTATTAATCAAAATAATTATACAAATAAGTGCAGAATTATAACCATGTAGGTGCCATGAAGGAAAGGTATACATGATGGTGACACCATGTAATAGGCTCACTTGATCTAGTTAGGGAAGTAAAAGCAGGTTTCTCTGAGCAAGGGGTGATTAAGTTAAGATTTTGAAAAAAGAGATTAAGAATTATTTAGGCATGATAAAGCAAACAGTATAAATACATGTATGCTGACATTTATTTGTGTTTTATGTTAATATTA